GCTTTCTTAGTGTTTCTATTTGCCTTTGTCCATCCCTTTATTTAGTGTTTCTGAATCACTTTGTTTTAGGTGTGTCTCATATATACAGCATATAGTTGGGTCTTGCTCTGTGAGCCAAACTGAAAGTTTTTTCTTTTAATAGGCACGATAAGTTCACTCACATTTTCACCTTTTATTGATATGGCTGAACTCAAATATATTTTATAATTATGTGTATTTTGTTATATGTTATTTTTCTTTCTTCATAAGATATGCTTTTTTGCTCTTTAACTTTATAAAACCTTTTCTGATGTTTAGGAAGATTTGTATTTTTTTCTAGTAGTAATCCTTGTACTTACACCATTTTAATGTCCTTTGTTCCCTGTTTATTATTTGAGCTTTTACTATCTACTTTATCAGTTCTTACTGGCATCCTTTAACACTCACCTATTGCCTAGGTAATAATCAATGAGCTTATTCTATTTTCTTCTTTACCTCTCCCTTCTCTCATTTTTTAGTTGCATCATTTCTCTGTTGTCACAACACCTAACATCTGTTCATTACTTTTCCATCCTCATCCCCACCATAGTTTTAGTTTTTGATCTATATTTGCATGTACACTACCCATTCTTTTGCTGACATTTTTCAAGTTATCCTTTGGTTGGATGAAGCTTGTCCTGTGGTAGATTTCCCACAAAGGACTGGTGGGTGCAAAATTCTCTAAGTTCCTGTATGTTGAAAACTATTTTTCTATAGCCTTGATACTTGAAGAACAGCTTGGTGGGATATAATATCCTTTCTCCATGCATTCTTTCATTGATCTTTTGCAATCACTCTATGTGGATGTGCTGATTTATTTCCTATTCATTTTTGTGGCATTGGTTTGTTTCACAAAATCCCTAGTTTAGGGGCTGGCCCAGTGGCGCACTGGATAAGTGCGCCACTTGGGGAGCGCAGCGGCGCTCCTGCCCGAGGGTTCAGATCCCACATACAGACCGATATTTTAGTGCACTTGTTTGTTTTTACACTAGGGCAGGAGTTGTGTGTCCTCCAGTTTTTGGTTTTCTTTTGTCATGAGGGGGTCCTAGAATTTCCACTTCTGCTTCTTTCCTATTTCACCCCAGTTGACAAATGGCATATCTCCCTTCCTTTTGGCTTTTTGTCTCCCACAGAAATTTTGCATATGGAAGACCGCAAAGTATACATACTTTTAAGCCCTTTTCCTGTAATTTGTGTCTATCTGGACAATTTTTTTAGTACTTTTAAACTTAGGGTAGACTAAATTTTTCTGGTGGTTGTTTTAGATAAACCTTAGGATCCATTGCTAGTTCCCCTCTTTCTTGCAGTTTTTCTGAATCTGCCTGCCTCCGCCTTGTAACAAGGGGAAACATGCTGAGACATGGTGTTTTTACTCTTTTTACTTAACAGATAATTTGATGTTTGGGCATCTCTGTCATCAAGTTATGCTGGTAGTGTGGTTTTTGTGTGTGTGTAGCTTTATTTTTCTCTTCCTATTGTTCTGTATCATTTTTAGAATAAATATTGGGATAGGGGACTAGGGTATCACCATTTTCTTCAGCTACCTAGAAGTCTCAGTATGCATTTTGATTCACAAAAAGCAAATCTACTCAACTGCCTCAAACACGCAGCTTTCCAGCCATAGCCACTGTAAATCTAAGAGTTTCTGAGCACATGAAAGTTTTGCTTCTTACCAACCAAAGCTGCATGGGCCACATCTAATGGTTGGCACCAAGAGTAAAAAAACACACAGTTGGGGCCGGCCCGGTGGCGCACTGGATAGTGTGCCGCTTGGGAAGCACGGCGGCGCTCCCGCCCGAGGGTTCGGATCCCACATACAGACCGGTTCCCGCTCACTGGCTGAGCGAGGCGCGGGAGCAACACCGAGGTTTGCGATCCCGTTGCCGGTCCCCGGTCCGGTACGGGGGCAACACTGAGGGTTGCGATCCGTTGCCGGACACGGAAAAAGACAAAAGACAAAACAAACAAACAAACAAACAAAAAACACACAGTTGGATTTGCAGGGAACAGGCTACCTATTCCAGCTCTGGCAAAATGTCCTTATTTTGATACCCATTTGCCATTCCCAGTTTGACCGCAGCCTAGACAAGGAAAGAAAATTCCCCAGGAATTCTACCTGAATTGCAAATGAATTTTAGTAACTGGGTTTTTGTTTAGTACAGAAACATACCTCAGTGGGGCAACTTTTCTTTCCTTACTTTCCCCTAAATAATCAGTCTCCTGCCACTTAACAAGTTCATGTGCAGATAAGAGTTCAGTCATGTGGACGGAAGTTGATCCCAGGCAATTTCTCTTTAATGAAACTTTTTGTATTTGGCTACCAGCCAGGCCCAAATAACTCTTTAGGTCCTTTACAAGTCTAAAGCTGTGTTTGTTTCCTGTGGCATATTAGTGAAAAGGTTGAGATGCTATGTGAAAATGTGGATTTGGAGAAGTTTGTTTCAATCTCTTCTCTGTAGCCCAGGTGCACAGTAGCCTCATGTCCCAAAGAAACAATCTAAAATCAATTTCCTAAAGGACAAATATCTGGTAGGGCTTATCTCTTTTAATAGGAGACAAATACATAGTCTCTGGCTACAGACTATCAGAATCCAGTAGCAGGACAGAAGAGAAGCCATCTTTTTAGGAGGTTTTTCCCTGAAATCACCTCCTTTGCCACCTTTGATGTGGGAGACTCCTAGATGGGCTTTAATTAGGGACACCCTTTGAATTTTCAGCTAACAGAGGGCTTTAAGCTTAATTGGCTGGTCCAGTTTTCTGTGGGTTCCCCTTGGAGAATTTTGGTGTAAATTAAATGTCAAGAAATCAAACATCCCTACTCCTCACTTCTAGAAGCTATGAGGTTACTTTGGAGTCATCACCAGAGGTTACAAGATAGATGACACTATGTCTCTTGAAAATGCAAAATATCCCATGGCACCCTTAGAGTTCACTGCAGCACCCTAGGGCACCTCAGCATAAAAATTTGGGAACCATAAATATACAGCCTCTTTTCCTACGTGTGTGTGTATATATGCACACACATATACACTCATAGATATTTTTTTTTTTGTCTTCTTTACTGACCGGTAACGGGATCACAACCCTCAGTGTCGTGCCCATACCGGGGACTGGCAACGGGATTGCAACCCTCGGTGTTGCGCCCGCACCGCGCTCAGCCAGTGAGCAGGAACCAGTCTCCACATGGGATCCGAACCCTCGGCGTGAGTGCCGCCGTGCTTCCAAGTGGCGCACTCTCCAGTGCGCCACTGGGCCGGCCCATGAGTCTTCTTTTATTAATATTTGTTGAGCAAATGAAACACTCTCATTGCTATCCTTTTCTCATAGTCTTACTTTGGTATTTAGACATTATCAAAAATTATGCAGTTTATGACAAAGGGTTATATTTTTATGTTGTTTCTGTAAGCACTCAAAATCCTTCTCTCTCACCTGCCCTCCAAGAAAACCAACTTAATGAGCCACAAAACATGTTGTAATGAATGGGAAAAATATTTTTTTTAGCATTTTTATGCAGAAATTGCCTCATTAAAAGCAAATGCTTCAGCAAGCAGATTTGAGCTTAATAAGAACTTCTGTTGGGTAGGTGCCTTCATGACAAATCACTAGCATGTGTAACTGCTGTAGCTGAGAACTAAAAAGCCAAGAGAGGCTCTTACCTCCCTCTCTTATCCTTGGACTGCACTGCAGCAATGTAGTGAGTGCCACATGGCACTCAGTGTGCACTTGATGGGCACCGAAGGACATGATGCCTACTGTCCAGCTGCACATGGGAAAAATGTCCATATATTGTCTGATATCACTCAAGGTCCCATCTGGATATGTTATATCCCATGGATTGGTTTAGATGAAGTCTGTTTTCAGCTTGGTGTTTGGCATCATGTGACATGAATGTAGTTTTGCATCTATTTTGCATAGTGTAAAAGCCATGAGGGTGCAGGGTTTGGAGTCATACATACAAATCTAATTTTAACAGAAACTTCAACTTGTATCCCTGCTGTTGTAACTTCTTTAGACATGGGCCTCAAACTGGTATCACAAGAGGGCAGGAGGGCTGACAGTGGGGAAGGCAGTGTGGGCTGATTTGGTCACAAAAGCTATAGTCCCTTAATACAATGGTGCCCTACTCAGAGGCACAAGGTGCTCAAATGTCCCCACTGAGGTTCCAGAAGGCACCCCTGGACTGATGTGTTTGCAGTGGTTGCCCACTGTGTTTGCAGGTGTTCTGAGCCCAGCTCAGGTTCATCATCTGTGATCCACACTTGGGGGCTCAGGCTGAATTACAGCCATGTCCACCCCGGCAAGGATGAGATCACTAGCAGTGATGACATCACCGTGGTAATAAGTTACCCTGGAGAAGTAGCCTCCTTTATGGAATAGGAAGACATGAAATGATGGCATGATTCGTCTTCAAATGGCAATTTTTCACATCGCTTCAATTCTTTGCCAGCTCACTCCACTAAGTCAGCCGTGCTATTGCTTGACTGGTAATAATAATAGCGGCAGCTGTGGTGAGCATCTGAGTCTTACTGTGTCAGTCAGCTGCTCTGCTAAGCTCCTTACATGTCTTATCTCATTTAATCCTCAAGCCCTATAAAGTAGATGTGTTAATGTCCCCTTATCACAGATGAGGGATCTGAGGGCAAAGAAGGTGAGTACCCTACCCTAAATCCTGCAGCTCGGAAGTCAGAACTGGGATTGGAAGTAAATCTTCTTTCTGATTTTAGAGTCCTTAACTATTACTGCTTTACTGCATTGTGCAACCAGTTCACTAAAAATACATCAGAGTCCCTACTCTAGTCAATAAAAAGAGGCCTTCCTTTTAGGAATGAAAGGGGAAAACTTAATTCATTTGTTTCCAAATGCCCCGGATTTGGTCTCTCCGCTAGCCCAGCCTCTTTTAATGTGACGGGAAATTGACCCTCAAAACAAACTCATGGTTCCCAATGGGCAAGCACGGGGTTGCCAGTGGTCACCAAGCTTACTGTTAGGAAGTGGCCGTCCTTCACCTCGCGCCACCTCTGGCTGTGAGCTGGCAGGTAGGCGGGCAGTGGAGGAGCAGCTATGGGAAGGGGGCCAGTGGCTCTCTGCTCTCGGCGATTGCTCCGGCTCCGGTGTTCTGATGGGGGCAGAAAAAGTAGTGATATTGAAATATACTTGGCATTTTCCATTTCGCTTTCGCTTTCCCACTTGGGAGTATTAGCAAAAGGCTTTAAATAAAAGGAAAGCAAAGTGAGCTTTCGTTAATCTAGCTAATTTCTGTACCAAATCAGATGTTCAGAATGGTTCCTAACTACACTTCCACTTACTATTGCCATGACGATGGAAACATACATTTCAGTGGGGCCATCTCATAATCTATATACAAGATGGCCTACTTCTGAGTTCCGTGTGCCCCGTTTCAAAACAGCATGAGCAAAAAAAAAAAAAAAAAAAAAGAAAAGAAAAAAGAAAAAAAGAAAGAAGGAAAGAAAAGAAAAGGAAGAATGGTAAGAACAACGGGGGAAGATTTGCTGCCACCACTGCTGGAGTGGAAAGTAGGCACAGACATGCCACACACCAGAGCTGCTGGGTCACCCATGGGGTGCTGGTGCCAGCTCACAGTGGCTCACTGTGATTGCTACATCTTCAGGAATTTGTGTGACCAAGATTTTCAACTGTTCGTACCTGGAAATAGGCCATGGTAGGAGTATTTACATCACAAAAATTGGCAAGTGCTACACATCGGGGCTTTATCTATTTATCTTATTTTTTTTCTGGAAAGCTGGGTGACGGACATGCCATTATAGCCATCTAAGCCCTGTCACCCACAGCACTCAGAGGGCTCTGAAATCCTGGGCTCCAAGAGAAAGTAAAGCAACCCCATGACAACATTACTCTGATTTAGGAATAACGCTGCCACTTGGAAAAGCCAAGAAATATCTACATGCAGGATGAAGTAGTCCTGACTTCATAACAAGAATCACCGAGCCACCAAGAACACAATTTAGCTTTTTCCATGTCTCCCTGAGCCGCAAAGCTCATCCTTCCTAATACACTGGCCACACCAAAGGCTGCCCTGCCTGCCAAAATCCAGCTCACACTCATGCCCAGGGCCTGAAATTTCCAGAGACTTCCTCATGATTTAGGTACAAATTCATGCAGCCAATTTTTTAATCTGCCCTTTCATTATTTAAAATTACTTATTTTTCTACTTCTGCTTCCAAAATGTTTTTTTCTTTTACATTTATTTTTCTTCATCTCACTGTGATAATTGTACATATTTGTGGAATACAATGTGATATTTGGGTACATTCATACAATGTGCAGGGTATTTAGCATATCCATCACGTCAAGCATTTGTCCACCTCTTTGTGTTGGGAGCATTCAGCATCCTCTCATCTAGCTACTGGAAGTCAAACAGTAATTTGTTGTTGGCTATAGTCTCCCTATATTACTATAGAACCCTAGATCCCATTCTTCCTCTCTCTCTCTGCAATTTTGTATCCATGGACCACCCTCTCTCCATTCCCCATCCGCTTCCCCCCACCAGTCTCTAGTAACTCTTATTCTATTCTCTATTTCTGAGGTCAACTTTTTTAGCTTCCACATGTGAGTGAGAACATGCAATGTTTCTCTTTCTGTGCCTGGCTTCTCAGCACATGCACAATAATCATCATAATGCCCAATATTTATTGAACAATTACCACATGCCAGAGATGCTTGGCAGAAGCTCTTATGTGCACCATTTCAACAAAAGCTCTTATGTGCACTATTTCAACAACCCCATGAAGCAGCCACTCATGCAGTCCCTCTTTTGAAGATGCTGGATCAGGCTCAGGGAGGGTAAGTCACTGCCAAGTTGGCTCCAGTGTCCTTGCTCTTGACCACTACTTGATCTACAGGCGATGTAAGGTCCTGACACATCTCACTCATCTGCTTGGGTTTGATAATGCTTGATAATAATTATATTTTATTGCATTCCAATTCTTTGAACATTGATAACATAGAATATAGAATATTTAGCAACTCATAAGACACTACTTACTTTCCTTACTGGTGCTAGAAGACAGTTCACTACACTGACCCTTTCAGGTGACGTCAGATGCCCCTTCTCCAAAGCCCTGAAATACCCATTCCTATCTCTGTATTGATAAAACACTGATCTCTCTCTCTGTTGGCCTGTTCCACTAGAAGTTGACCCCTGGAGGACAGAGACTGTACTTTATTCAGCTTTTAACCCCAGTGCCCACAGTGCCTGCGACATAGTTGGTTTTCAATAAATATTTGTTGAGTGACTGAAAGAGCAAGTTGATGCTTTTCTTAAAAGCTAGTCCCTTAAAATGGGAATGCCTTCCACAGCATGCTGTTTCGAGTGGGCCATGCTGTTAGCACCCTCACTGCTAGGTTCTTGCCCAGCCCCGTTGCTTGCTCTTGACTGGCCCCTGATGCTGGCCCCATTCTCCTCTGCTTTACCCCATGTGCTGTCCCCTAAACTAGGAACTGAGCACTCGGAGCTTTCTGAATTCTGTCCAGGTCTGATCTGGCTGTCTAGGGGCCTTGCTGCTGAACTGCCGCCAGACTTAGTGTCTGTGTCAGGAAAATGTGACAGTATTCCTCATCTTCCTTTACTCGGGATTCTTTCCATAAATGGTGGCTGCCATTCGCGACCAGAGAAAAGTCCTCAAAACCACACAGGTAGTCTTTGCTAAAGTGACTCCCAAGTCAAGGTTTACCAGTAAGGCTTTTGGAGATAAATATCTTCCTTGTTAAAGTGCCCCTCTCTTTTTTCTCTGCAAGCAAACAGCGGACTTTTCCAAGTGGGTGGCACAGGAGAAGCTTTGACATTCTTCAATTCATGGAGAAGAGTAGAATGCAGGCATTACTGGTTAGGAAGAGGTGGAAGGAGGGGAGGAGATGGAAGGGAGATATCAGCTCAATTTCCCACCCCATTGCTCCCTTCCCACACTATCTAAAATATATCTCTTTCTTTGCCCTGAGCTGGGAGGAGGCAGGCTACATTAATGGCTCCCTAATAATATTCTTATCTGATGAAGAGGTAGAGAGAACATTGGTCTACTAGAGCCTGGAACTGCAGTAGAATCGTGGCCCTTAATGCCTTAGACCAGTGAGACTTCAGCCCCAGCCTGAAACTTGAAAGGAAAGGAAATGCAAAATATAATTATCTTTTCATGGTCACTTATTAATCTCTCTCTTCCTATTTTATGAACATTAATGATGTCATCACTTAAAGCCATCACTGGCTCTGAGCATTAAAGATTGCTAAGAAAAGGTAAAGAGCACACCAAAAACAATATTTCCATGCAGGTAGCCCACCAGAGCCACTGCAACTGCCATGGCTGTTGCAAGAGTGGCTAGTCTATATAGGAGCAGTCACAGCCACCATGCAGATTGCACGCCAGACTGTCAACTGCAATGACACAAGGAGAGGCACCAGCGGAGACCAAAAAAATAAAAAATAAAAACAAACAAAAAAGAAGAGTTCCTCTCTCTCCACAAAGCACACTCCAGAGGAATAGAAGCAGCATCTGATTTACGATAATAGGGGAGGACTTGATCACACCTGTCTCAGCACTGGACAGATCATGTAGGCAACAAACCAACAGAGGAACAGTTAATCTATCAGATGCAGAGAATAAATCCATGGTTACTAGAGGGGGAGGGTAAGGGGGAGGGGAGAAATTGGATAAGTGGCATTAAGAATAAGTATGATTTGTAACAATGAATATGCTAATAAACAATAATTTTTAAAAGAAGGAATCAGATTCAAGATAACGTGAAATCCATTTAGATGTTCCTTCCTCCGGGGAGCCTTCCCTGAAGCTCAATAGCATGATTCGATACCTTTCTTCTCCACCCGCATATCACCGTAGTGAAGTTACCTGGTTACTTGTCTGTCTCCCTCACAGGACCAGGAATTCCATGTGGGCAGGAACCATACTTTATTGCCTTTTGAATCCTAAGTTCTAGCACAGTGCCTTGCCTTCAGTAAAGCTTGTCAAGAGGTTTTCTATTAAGTAGATCTTGAAAGCAACCAATTTCTCGCCTTCACTCTCTCAGTCCCCCAGTTCCCTCCTTAGAGCCTCATCTCCAAAAGGAGCACTGAGCTGCTGCCACCACAGCCTCACTTGCCTGTGCTTCATTGTCCACACCGTCCTGGTGGAAGCCAGGCAGTTCAAGCCATCCAAAGAGAGAACCTGCAGGGATGCTCACTGCTGAGCAAGGCAGCTATCTGCTAGGTCAGTATTAGTCACGGCCACCATATGGCAGAAGTGGATTATGCTCCTGAATACACTGCTAAGCTACTGTGTTTCTTGGACAAGGTTAAAAAAAAAGTGATTTTGTAATTTTAATTCTACACTTCATGTTTTTAATTCTATGATGCCCATAATTCTTGTTTATGGCTCTCTGCAGTGCTATTAGAACTACTACACCCAAGGTTTGCCATTGAGCCAACCACTAAACAAGCCAGTCTGTGGAGGTCAAGACGCAGCTCCAGAGTCTTCCTTCCAACCCCCAGGAGACCCCACATCCTTCTCTCACCCCCCAGGAGGAAGTTCAGAGAAAACTGATACTGGCACTTTCTGTTCTTCAGTTCTGCCATTAAACCCAAACCTGACAAAGCAGTGAAATGTGGTAGCTTACGAGCAGCTCATTATTATCTGGTTCAGTCTGTAAAAATCTAATCAGGGTGACTTATTAATAATAACAGAGGGATAAAAATAATTATGTCTAAAGAGCTAATGTTACTCAAGCCCTCTAATGATGGGATCTGAGAGAGTATTTGTTGAGAACAATCAGATTCCTCTGTGGTCCTCCTGTGCCCTCAATGCTCAACCGGTTTTCTGCAGAATTTGATTCAGTTCCACATTCATTGCAGACCTGCTCTACGTCAGGTTCATGCTAAGGGCTTTAAATAAAATAAATGAAGAAGACATCCTCCTTGCCTTTGAGCTGCTCATGGATTGCTGGCAGAAGACAGACCCGTAGTGGTTAGTTATGATATAAGGTGACAAGTGACACAATGGGAAGATACACAGGGTATTATGAGAAGAGTGCCTAATGCAGGCTGCAGAGGAATGGCAAGAGTGGCAAGGAAGATTTCCACCTTCCAAGAAGGTGACTTGCACTAAAATTCATTAAAGAACTTTGTAGCCAACCATAAAATAGAAGTAAATAATAAGTGTGCCAGAGATCACTTGTCACAGTATTTGCCACTAAGAACCAAGGGAAATTTTTAGAAACTATTGCTTTGGAGACATTAGCTGGTTAGCTCTTTCGTTAAAAGGAAAAAAGATGAAACTATTGCTTTGGAGACATTAGAAGAACCAAGGGAAATTTTTAGAAACTATTGCTTTGGAGACATTAGCTGGTTAGCTCTTTCGTTAAAAGGAAAAAAGATGAGGATAGGGAAAAAGCAGAAGTCGTACAAATGTGGAAGAAAATAAGATGAAAACAACATTTATCATCATTGTGCTTCTCCATCTTGATAGTGACATTATTTTATTTGCGTTATAATACTTTCACAAAATAGCATTCCTTAAAAGAGTATAGGAAATTTGGAGCAAAGACATTGAATGTGTAGACACCATCTGTCCCCATAGCAAGAACTAAAGGCCAAAAAAAGCTGGCACACCAACTTCTGATACCTAATGAGGTGGGCAGTAAAAGGACGATGCCAGTTTTTAATCCCCTTGTCCTAATTATAATGTGTTTAAGGCACTGAAAGGTAACCAGTGTAAGAAGAGGCTGTATTTCTACCTTGCCTGCTATGTGCCTGTCTCTGGCTTTCTCAGGACTGGGAGGGAAATGCAAAGGTAAACATTTGTTTTTGTGGAAAATAAATGTATGATGTGTGTATGATGAGGAGGAAAAGAGCTCAGGCTGAGGGTTCAGGGACCTGGGTGCGGGCCCTAGAACAGTATCCGACCTGCTGTGTGTGGCCCTAAGCAAGCTTCCTCACCTCTCTAGGTGCCCACGTGCCCCGTGTAGAATGGGGGCATTGGACCAGATCACTGGTTCTCACCAGAAGCAAAAGAGCCCTCCAGGGGGTCGTTCTGGTTGTTAGAATGATTGAGCTGGATCCAAGGATGACAGCCATCCTGTACTGCACAGGATGGTCAATAAAAAGGTGTCCTAGGTCCCACACAATATTTAGATTTCCCATCAGGATCTCTCATAGGGGAAAAGCCTACAACCTATTTCTGAGTCAAACTGAACTCCTTTTTAATTGTAATCCAAAGGTGTTTTTTTCCTCATATCTGACATACACTGAATGTACCAGTGTTTATGGCTGTGTCCTTCTGCCCCTTGGGGCTCCTTTGTTTCTCTGTACTTTCTGTTCAGAATGGTTCTGATTGTGTTTACTTAATCCAGACTTACTTTTGATAGGTGCAAACATTTGACTATTTTATGATGTCTTCTAGTGTAGCCATGCTTGGATATTTGCATATTAGAATACACATTATTATAAATATTTTTATTTTAATGGCTCTTTCGTATCATATTTAGACTATCATGCTATGTTTTTAATCGTGTGTCTAGGTGGTTTATACTACCCACGGATTCATTTCAGGGCAGAAAGGGGAGCATTTCGAAGTACTTGTTGTAACAAGGGAAGATGTTAAAATTGATGGGACAGAGAACCCATGGACAGGACAGCACGAGTTCTCTCCCGGAATCCCCCAGCCCGGGCTCAGTCACCTCTGCGCAGGGCTTGCAGGCTCTGCCGGGCGTGGCGGCGCAGCTCCTCCACGCAGGGCGGCCTCGTGGCGGGGAGGAAGATGTTGCGCTGCTGGTGCCACGGCGCGCGGTAGTACACGCTCAGCTTGCTCTCGACGTCCAGNATTTTTTTTTTTTTTTTTTTTTTTTTTTTTTTTGCTCATATCTAATATACACTGAATGTACCAGTGTTTATGGCTGCGTCCATGGTTGCTCCAGCTCCAGCCTTCTGGCCACAGGGCCTCAGAACTGTAGTTCTGCATGCCTTTCCTGCCATCCACCTGAACTTGGCCCATACCTTGACCTGCTCTCTGTCCTTTGTGGCCCTTGGCCCCAAGCTATCCTCATCCTGCCCTCCACCTGCTGACTCCACCTCCTGCCGTCTTACAAAGCATTTCTCGGTTGCCCTGGTCTCACCCAGGTATGAGTGTAAGCATCAGGGAAACCATTACAGGGTGATGGCTATTTATTAAGGGAGGGAAACTGCAAACAGCACAGTTCTTGCAACTCATCCAAGAGCACAAGGAAGGAAGGCCTCCTTCCCCCAAACGTAGCATTTAACCCACTACTGTCTTCTTCATATACACATGGAGCCTAGGATGGAACTCCCCGTGAGCTGTAGATTAAATTCTGATGGAAGTGGGTGTTAGGAACCAGGAGAATTCTGACCAGGAAATGGCTGCACAGAGAACTCATGAGCACCTGGGCAGCCTGTTGGCGTCAAGAGTGGTGAGAAGTGGCTCAGCCTGCTTTAGTTTCCAGGCCACCATCTAGACCCAGATTCCTGTCCTGGGCCCAGCCTGCTCTTCCCAGACTCAGCTCCTCTTTCTGCTTCTTTGCCTCTTTTTCCCAGTGTGAGATTTGGCAGCGCTCTGCCCAACTATTTATCCCTGTGCCCCAAACAGGCTTTTGGTTCCTCTCTGATCCTTCTCTTTTTGAACTCTGACCTACCCTTTCAACTTTGCCTGAGAATAAGATACTGTACAGATAAAGTAAAAAGGAAAATGGAAAAGAAGGGAGGATGCTTTCATAAAAAGGGAATAGAAGAGAGGAAACTGGGAAAAATGCAATCTTTTGATAATTAATTTCTGCCCCTCCCCCACAAGTATTGCATTTATGGTGGTTATTTTTTGCTTGTTTTTTAATGCAGTCTTAAGTAGTGGTTTTTTAAAATTGTGAATTATGATTTTATTTTTTGTTGTTGTTTTTTATTTTTTATTAGCATATTCGTTGTCATAAATCATACTTATTTTTTATGCCCCTTACACAGTTTCTCTCCTTCCCCCTCCCTCTCTTAAGTGCTGTTTTTCTTGGAATAATGGATCATAATCACAAGAATCACCAATAGAAACAAAGACACATTTCTAAAGATGTGAAGAAACATCAGATGGACAGAGTCAAGGGGAAGGCGCCATGTCTCTGAAAGAGTGATATTCAATAGGAATTTCTGTGATGATGAGGTTCTCTGTAGCTGTGCTGTGCAATATGGTAGCCACTAGCCACATTGGCTATAAGCACTTGAAATGTGCCTAGTGAGTGAAGAACTGAAGTTTTAACTTTATTTAACTTTAATTAATTGAACTTTAAATAGCCATGCGTGGCTATTATATTGGACAACTTAGCTCTAGAATAACCATAAATAGTCTATTAAATTCTCTCTCACCTTCAGCCACACAGCAGATTTCTGTTTTTGACTTAGGTTTATTCTTCCTTGGTGTTCAATCTCCAAGAATAATTCAAACACAAGAGTTAGAAATTGCAGGATTATCTCCCTGGGAAGGAGAGAGTATTTTCAGAGGAGGATTCTACAAAGCCAAGAAATAAAGGCAGCTATTTTTCCTTCTCAAACAATTGAAACTTAAATAGCCATGTGTGGCTGTTGTAATATCAATTCTATAATCTCAGCTCTCTCCCTGGAAACCAGTCAGGAGTCACTGAGTCCTGGGGACAAGAAAGCCCAGGAGGAATCGCTAAGGGAGAAGCCACTCTCTTCAGACCTGAGAGGAGGAGTCGGAGGCCTTTGGGGTAGAAAGGGAGGGCTGGCCCTGGATCAGAGCTTTCCTGCTCTCATAGGTAGAGCAGGGGGAGTTCTGAAGACAGAAGCTTTACTTAGCCACACCTGGAGGAATGCTCTGGTTCAGTGACCGGGATTGACTAAAAAAATCAGCTCCTCCCTGGATGTAGAGGTCAACTCCCATCCAACAGGGCAGAGGTCATTAGCAAACCCAACAGAGGTGGCTTTAAATTCATATGCTGGAGACAGCTGGGAGAGAGGACAACGGGACACTTACCTGTGGAAAGAAGGGACAAGAAGTTCCATGGGCAGTCCCAGAAGTACAGGGGCTTCTGAGCACCTCCACCCCCAACCCACTCCCTGCTCCAGGCTCATCTCTTCAGGAAGGCAGGAGCCAGGATGCGGGGCTGGGCCCAGGTGCCTCAGAGGTAGACCAGAAGATTCTTATAGCCCCTCATTCCCTCAGTACCACTGAGCAGAAGCTGAAAGGGTTAACTTTTGACATCCCTGAGAAACCAGGTCAAGTGGCTATGGCTCCTCAATCTGTGTATGGGGAGGAGCTGAGCTCCTGCTGTTAGTCTTAGTGTTGGTCTAAAGAAAAGATGCATCAGAAGTGCTTGTGACAAACGCAGATTCCAGGGCTCCAACCTAGACTCCCTGAACCGGAATTTCCTATCGAGAGGCCTAGAAATCTGTATATTTGAAAAGTGCCCCAAGGTTATTTTTTATCTTCAGGCAACTTTGAGAAACACAAAATGTTTTGTGGTAATGTCCTGGGATCTCATGAGAGTAAAAGGAGTTGGGCAGAATGAAGGAAGGGGAGAGACTGCTGCAAATGGAAATACTCATCCACCCATGGAACAGTTTCTGAGCAGCATGACAGCCGGGCACCGTGCTAGGCACTGGGATACAGCACAGAACGAAACATAAAGGAACCCCTGCCCTCATGGAGCATGTGCTCTCCGGTTCTGTGTGAAAATTGTTTAGATGTGATTGTGCCTGGAAGCAACAGGTTGGGAGAAATGGCCTCTGGCAGACTCTTCCTGTCATTATACAATTCCCCAGGCACAGCCTCTAGAGGCCCTAAACCACAAATGACTGTAGTCCCGCCTCTTCCACCTCCACCTTTCTGTAGTAGGTAATCCCCAAATTTCAGAATAAATTAACATATCATAAAATAAGTGTGAAGAGGTTTGGAAAAACATTCCTCATTATTAAATATTAAATATCAAGTTACTTTAAAAAGTATTAGTTTTAGTGTCCCTCCTTTGCTGCTGCCCTAAACACATTCCAACTGTGCAGCGCTGAGTTTCTGGGCTGCTGAACTCTGCCTGCTGCTCAGGACTGTGGATCTGCAGATGTGAAGACTAATGCATGAATTCCAGCACAAGCAGCCAAGCCACGGGTCCCAGGAAAAACCAGCCTTCAGGGCCGGGGAGCCTCACCTTTCCCCATCCAAAGTTTCTCTCTGCTGAGAAGTTATAACTGATTTGTCAGCAGGTGAGCATTTCACTCATCAGTTGCTACAGTGGTGTCTATCTCTTAGACAGGCGAGTGAAGTAAAACTCTTAAATGCCTTTGCTCTCAGCTATGTACTTTGGTCACAGAGCATTAACTAGTATTATGTGTCTACTGGAGGCAGACAGACAGACAGTAATGGAGCTCTTCCAGGGAAAACTATCCCATTTTCCTTCTTTAAAATGTCTGCTTCTTTTCCTAAGTAATAATAGTTCAGCCAAAGTTGAATCCATTCATTCATAAACTCGCTGCCCACTGCCATTGCAAGGCTGCCCACAACTTCGAGTTCACCCTAGCCCCTTTTACTTCCCTTTTAAAATATTTCACTATGGCTGAGCCATGTAAGATAGCAGACTTAGTACCCCAGTAATGATTGTTCTCATAAAAATGGAACAAAGAGAAGCAAGAAGGTTTTTCCTCTGTTTATTTGGATATATCCAGGGGCTCCTCTGTGGTAGGCAGAATTCTAGGATGGTCCCAAGATTCCTGCCTTCTCAAGAACATACCCTGCATAATGCCCTCCTCTTGAGTATGGGTGGAACCTGTGACTTAGGTCACATTACATGCCAAAAGGGATGGTAAGGTCCCTACTCAGTAGACCTTAAGTTAATCAAAAGGGAAAGTATTAACCTGGGTGGGTCTAGCCTAATCAGGTGAGTCCTTAAAAGAGATAAGAAGGAGCAGAGATGCTCTACTGTTGGCCTGGAAAAAGCAAACTGCCATGTTGTGAAGATGGCCATGTGGTGGGGAATGGCGGGCAGCCTCTAGAAGCTCAGGGACTCGGTCCTACAACCTCAAGGAACTGAATTCTGTCAACAACCCCTGTGCTTGAAAGAGGACCTCAAGCTTCAGATGAGAACACAGCCCCAGCTGACACCTCGATTCCAGTCCAGTGGGGTCCTGAGCAGACGACCCAGTTAACCCATGGCCAGACTCCTGACCCAAGGAAGTTGCAAGATAATAAATGGGTGTTGTTTTGTAGAAAAAAAATATAATTTTAACATGCTTAATTTGCTTCTGTATTTAATGCTTGCTAAAGATGGGAAAACATAACTAACACCATTTTAAGTAAGGCAGGCCCAGACACATTAAATTCCAGGAAGGGAGTAAAACACCACCTGGTTACAGGAACTGACTGACCAGTTCCTTATCTAAAAGCCACCTGGAAGATAAACGATTGGGAAATACACTATTCCTTATCGGTGTACCAGCTTGCTAAAGCCCACCAATAAATCCAAAGGTCACCTCTGATAACCTGTAAACAGTAAACAACTCATCCTATTGTGAAAGTCTGTCTAAAAACCTGTATAAAATTGTGTTAAAGGCTTGTGGTCGCTTTTGTCTTGAGTGCTGAGTGACCCCAGCATGCTGGAAATAAACTCCTCTTGCTTGATTGCATTGGTCTCTGTCTCATGGTCTTTGTGAGGAAAGCCATCCCGACGTGTGGTGTTTGGGCATGGTGCACAGATCTTACAGTTTAAGCTGCTAAGCTTGCAGTAATTTTCTAGGTGATAATAGAAATAATAATAATAGAAAATGAATACATCCTCCCACTATGTTGTCTACTTACCTAGAGTCAGTCGCTTGCCTTGTCTTATCATCTCTCACCCCCTGTTACTGCTGCCCAAGGAAGAAACAGATAATGGCAAGGGTTACAATGGGAAATAGGGCTATATGTCTCACTTGCATCCTCCACAACAGGATGCAAAGGTTATTTAGATGTATCATTTCTCCCATCTGAGACTGTAAGCACTTGTTAGATGTATCATTTCTCCCATCTGAGACTGTAAGCACTTGCAGAGAGCTCCAACCATATGCCAAGCTCTAAGCCAGGTGCATTACATTCATAATATCATGGTACCCTCACACAACTCAAAGAGGAAAGTATTGCCCCATTATACAAATAAGGAAATGCAAGTTTAGACGAAGTAAGCAAATTTACAAAGGCATATGCTTGTCAAGTAGGAGACCTGGGATTAGAAGTCATCTTTGTTTGGGTTCCAGGCTGCTGCTCTTTCCCAGACCAATGTTGACATAAGTTTGCCTAAGGTAAGCATGATTGGGGGTGTGGGAGGGGGGTAGAGTGAGCTGTCTGCCACATAAAAAGTATTACGTGCTCTTCAAAATCAAAATACAGGATTCAGAACTGCTACTCTCTGTACCATCCATAGCATTAGGTGTAACCAAGAACTGAGTGAATCTTGCAGAAACTGCCTAACAGGAGGCTGGGAAGATTTGATACATTCCAGAAAGACACATGAGTACACAAACAGATACCAGAAAACCAAACTGCTGAAAGAAAATGCCATCACAGGAAATGTCCACAGGGCAGTGGAAGCCTTTATAGACTGAACTTGGCTCATACCCCTGTCAAACCCTGGAGATAATGGAATTGTCTATATCTTGATTCATAGTGACGTATTGGAAGCATGGATATGGTCATTGGGTTCCTTTGAAATGAGCTGACTTAGCCGTGGAGGAAAACTAGAGGTCACCCCTCTTTTGGAAAGACCATGGCCATTCCTAAGAGCAGGGGGAAGACTACCCCCATCACACAGCTTTTTGGTCAGGAACACATCCCTCCACAAACCATCCATTCTGATGCCCTGTGACAGAAAGCAGTGGGGAGTGTGTTAGCACATTAATACATTAACAAGCATCTGAAATAATCAGTGTCATAGATATATAGCCAGTTTGCTCCCCAGGTCCCTGCTACCTGAAGCCAGTCTTCAGCAGGCAATAATCAAAAATAATCCTCAGCTTAGTAATCAAAATGGAAATCTACTCAGGGTGTCTATTGCTGCTGCCCGAGTGCTCAGATCTGTCGGGAGGATGGGGAAGGGGTTTTCCAAGTGAAACTGTTCACTCCTGCCTGCCTTCCTTCCTTGGCAACCAGCCCCTTGCCCAATCTGCTTGGCAGCTTGGAGGAGGGATCAGTGTAGGGTACAGGGACTGCAAGGACCACCAAGGCTCTTGCCACCTGCTTAAAGCCAGAATCAGTTTCCCAGAGTCTGTTCCTGCTGGGCTTCCTATTCTGACCACACTGATTCCGATTTGTACCCCGCCAATGACAAAACATCTAAAGTAGACCCCTCATTATGAGAATGATCTAGACTTGCTAACAAATTCCAGTGCCTTGAAACATTTCAATACCTACAGAATAGGAGAACATGTCTGTGTATTTACTTAGACACTAAGAGAGTCTAGAATGACTTTCCCTATAGAAACATGTATCCCAATTTCTAAAAGTAAGCATTGCTTCACACCAGGAGGATTGTTTAAGTCTTAGTGTTACTGTCACTGTTTTAATGTTTAACATCCTGCAGAAGCACCACTAGAAGCCTGGGTTATAGTCAGAGTTCTGCCACCATGTGACCTTGTGTAAGTCATTGAACCTTCCTAGGACTCAAGAAGTTTCCCATCGTTACAAATGGGGGGTTTGGACTTTTTGATCTCTGAGTCTTGTCCTGCTCCGTTAGATGCCTCCACTTTATACCAGTCACCAAAATCTACCCAGAAAGACTCTGTATGCAAGTGGTGGCAGGGTGGGCTGGTGGAATGGGCTCTGAGATAGAAAGATGGGGTTGGAGCACAGGAGCGGTGTGAACCAGAGCAAGTCACCAAATTCCGTGGGCCTCTATGAAAAAGGAACCATGGAGCCTTCATAGAGTGGTTCTGAGGCTCCAGTGAAATGACAAAGTCCTTGGCATGTCACTGCTTAATACATATTAGTGCCCTTAGCTGGACCGGGGGGAAAAGAAGACCAAGAGGCCAGGGTCAGGGTCCATGTTCACAGGAGGAAAGTCTGGAGCTCTCCATGTTTCTTTTTCCTTTACTCCTCTTATCTTCTTGTCAAGTGAAGCATGAACAAAGGTGAGGCCGCTAAAGATCACTCTATGGGACCCTTACATTCTGGAAATTGGAAAGAAGGCTGCCTACAACTGGGAAGCCTGTGACCTCTTGGACAGGTCTGTTGTCCCCAATCTCTGCCATCTGTTGACTTGGGCAGCATTTAGTGTAATGACTTGGTGATCCTAACTCTCTGAGTCACTGTCAGAGTTGCAGTATATACAGTGTCCTCAGAGGCAGTTTGTAATCAGCGTGTTTATCTTAGGTCATCCCACTGCATGTTCTACACCACACACTTCCTCCAGAACATCAGTAGGAGTCATCCATCACAGCTCAGCTATTGTTTTCAAAAAACTCCTCTAGGCATTTAGCAGAGTCATTGGATTCTACCACTGGAAGGGACCTCGGAAATTATGGAGTTCTGTGCTTTTTTCAAACTGCAGGGCAAGATGCGTTAGGGGACAGCGAGATCCACTAATTCAGCAGGTCAAACACAGCATTTTTTAAAAACAATGAAATAGAATAGAGAAGACTGGAAAAATCCAAGTGTACTGCATATAGTATTGTTTTGTGAAGCTATTGCTTTTGTCATGTGTGTGCATGTGTGTGCATGCTGGGTTGTGATGTAAAACTGTGTTTCCTCATCTGGCTAGCAGTCAATGCACTGTGAAAACCACACTTTAGGCCATTCCTATCATGTGCTGATAAGGAAACAAAGTTAAGAGATTTGACCCAAGATCACAGAGTTGAGTTTTGGTGGGGGCAAAAGCCAAAGTCCAGGTCTCCTGAGCCTGGGTCCATGTCCTTCCCTCAGTGGCCTCTTCCTCCTGTGTCCACAATCAGCCTGGCTTCTGTAGTCTTCAGGTCTCTCAGTCACTACTTGCTACCTATTGCATTTAACAGGCTGTCCTTTGAAAGAAACGCTTCTCACCTGTTCTCTATAAAACCAGGCATTTTTATTTGAGGATTTCAGAAGCACATCAGTCCAGGAAGCAAACCTGGAGCTGAACCAGCCACAGAAGGCAAAGTTTGCCCCATGTGCCATTACAGAACCTGGGCACCCTGAAGGGCTCAGTCGCTGAAGCTGCTCTGGTAAACAGAAACAACTCCCAGCCACTCTGAGGCATGGAGTATGCATGTCATCATGGAAAGAAGACATTGACAGAAAACCCTTGTCACAGCAGTGGAAAACTGCACATTCCCCTTTCTCCCTTCTGGTTAGAGATTCAAAGCTGGGAAATACTCAGGTGTTCACTCTTCCTGTATTCTGTCTGTCCCTTCCACATTCTGAGTTTTCTACACCAAACAACCCAGGAGAGGATTGTTCAGAGAAAAAGAGGGACTTAATT